TGAATTCTCTTTTATTTTTGCACATCATACTTAAATTAACATGGCCAAACCAACTATGCCAACTGAATAAATTATCAATATTGATAAACTTCAGGTTTACACCATGACGTGTGCAATTATCAACAAACTCCAAGTTTATTATGATATGGGTTTTTATATTAATAAACTTCTACTTTATTGTGGCATTCTTTTATTTGTGTCGTACAAACTGAAAAATAAAGCTGGTAACTTTTCACATACATATTACTCTGCTACAAGTTGTAGTAATAGAAGATATTAAATATTTTCTTTATTAATAGTCTCAATTTAACCAACCATTTTCGCGAATACTTTAGAAACTCAATAAGTTTCTTTGAGACTTACTAAAATATAATGCCTTATTGATAATCAATTTATTTCTCTAAAATAATAATAATTGGCTCTTTCAGAGCTCTCAATTAATTTTGTACCATCACCTATTCATCAACATCCATATAGTAAATATATTTTTCAAAGAGAAAGTTATACCATTATGGTCATGGTCAAAATCATTATACGAAAAATATGTTGCTTCCATTACTTTTACCCTGTCATAATCACATTGCCATAATATTCTTGCATAATCACAATAAGTACGTGATCAATGACCATTCATGCCATAATAATAAAATTATTTTCTTATTTCATTTCAAACATCCTTCTAGAGGTGAGTGTGGTATATTCACTACCACTAACACATTCATATTATTCCAAGAATAATATGTTTCCATACATCACATGTTGTCACATTCACATTATGAATAAACCATAATCATCTATATGTACTTTACAAAATCTCATGTCAAATCGATGACAAACATTACTTTCACAGAGTGAAGGATTATTTTGAGAATCCTTATTATTCTCATTACCACAATAATGACGATTATAATTTCGTCGATCTATTGCCACGTCCACATTCTGTGATATCTTTACGGTAATAATTTTGTCTTCTTGATTTATTACATATTGCTACCACATTCTCTTAAGGGAACGAGGATGAAGCAAATTCAATGGGACGGGTTTCTACTTTTAGTGCTCATAATCATACATGAATTTGATCATGGCGAGACATAAAAATTTTATCTGTAACGACCTGGCCGGTCATTTTAAGTTCTAGCGCGTCGATCAGCGGTTTGAGGCCTTGAATAGCTTCACTTCAGGTATTATGACTTGTAAATGTAGTTGAAATTGAATTTCGAGAAGTTCGGAGTTGATTTGGAAAGAAAAATCAAAATTCGGAAGCTTTAAGTTGGAAGGGTTGACTAAGATTTTACTTTTGAGTAAACGACCTCGGAATCGGGATTTAAAGGTTCCAATAGGTTCGTATGATGATTTTGGACTTGAGCGTATGTTTGGGTTGATTATCGGGGTGGTCCGGAAGAATTTCGGCACCTATTATGGAAAGTTGGCATTTTAAAAGTTTCTAAAATTTTATAAGTTTGGTTTGAAGTGGATTTTGATGTTATCGATGTCCGTTTGGAGTTCCGAGCATTGGAATAGGTTCGTACAGTGATTTGTGACTTGTGCGTAAAGTTTGGCATCATTTCGGAATGTTTAAGTATAATTTGGACGCGTTCGGCGAAGTTTGAAGGTTGAAAAATTGGAAGAAAGGTTTTTGGCCGTCGATTCGTAATTTTGATGTTGTTTGACATGATTTGAGGCTTCGACTAATTCTGCATCGCGTTTTGGGATGTGTTGGTACATTTGGATGGGGTCCCCGGGGCCTCGGGTTTGAAATGGATTGGAATTCGGATTTGAGGAGATATTGTTGATGTTGAAGACTGGTGTAATCGCACCTGCGGAAAGAGTGATCGCAGGTGCGTAGGGGGTCGTCACAGGTGTGATTTTTGTGAAGAAGGTCTGGGGGTGCAGGTGAAAGGAAACTTCCGCACCTGTGAAGTCGTAGATGTGGAGAAGGGGTCGCAGAAGCGGTGCTGGGTGAGAGGTTGTGGTTGCGCAGGTGCGAGGGAATTTCCGCACCTACGAGTTCGCAGGTGCGGGCTGTTGGTCGCAGAAGAGGGAAGGGACCTTGGGATGAAGGAGCGCAAAAGCGGAGGAATTCCGCAGAAGCAGACTCTTGTCCGCAAAAGTGAAGTGCTGGGAGTCAGGGGGTTTTCGCAGATGCGATATTTGGACCGCACCTGCGGAATCGCAGATGCGGTCAAGTGACCGCAAGTGCGATGATCGCTGGACAGAGGGCCTTGTTAAGTATATGGGTTTGGCTCATTTTCATTTTATTTCTTCCATGGGAGCCATTTTGGAGCGATTTTGGAGCGTCATTTTCATGGTTAATCATGAGGTAAGTAATTTCTACAAGTTGTGAGTTAAATATACGAATTTGGGCTTGTAAATATATGAAAACTTATGGAAATTGTGGGATTTTAAGAGAAAACCTAAAAATTGGTATGTTTGGATTTTTACCACGAAATTGGACATGAAATTAGGAATAAATTATATATTTGAGTTCGTGATATTTTGGGTAAAGTTTATCTTCAAACATTTTCGGAATTCAGGCACGTGGGCCCGAGGGTTGACTTTATTGACTTTTCGAGCGGAGTTGGGAAGTGTTATGAATTAATTAATTATGATGTTTGAGTATATTTTTATTGGCTTCCGTGATTGTTTGACTAGTTTCGGAACGTTTGGCTTGGAGTTGAGTGTTAGAGTGGTATTGGAGCCGGTTATGAAACTTCGGAGCGAGGTAAGTCTCATGTCTAACTTTGTCAGGGGGAAACTACCCCTAGGTGATGTAATTGTTATATGCTATTAGTTTTGGGTGCTACGTATGTACGAGGTGACAAGAGTCCGTACGTAGCTAAAGCATATTTATGTCCGGGTAGACTTAGGACTTTACCATGTAATATTTGGAATATTTGAATTCATTCTGCTGGCTTATTAATTAAAATTATAATTGAACTTGATTTAGAAATATATACATATATATTAGGTCGAGCCTTATTACCTTGAGTTGTTGGCAAGTTATTTGAGAAACGGTAAAGTTATACTCACCTTATGTTCATATACTGTATCGTAAGCTCGTGTCTCGTAATTCGATAATTCCTTTCCTTTCTTGTGGAGCGGGCTGAACGCCTCGGCATGATTACGTACCACACTCTCATGGGAGCGGGCCATTCACCTCGGCAGTCTAATAGATGTATCTATGGCTCGTACCACTCGACCCTCGGCAGTGTACACGTTATGATGGGATGGGGCCGATCGCCTCGGCAGTATCATATTCTTTCTGAGATCTGGCTATACGATATCGACATAATCATGCATCATATCGCAAGTAGTCCGAATATTCGTGAGATTTTCCTACCGCTGATGCCTTGTATTTTATATGGAAATTCTTATCCGTTTATTATTGGTATTTGATATTTTCGAGCTGTCGAGATAGAATATGAGATTGAGAAATTGATATCGTTAAAAGAAATTTTGGAAGATTGTGTTAGTTACAAATTTACCTCACTACTATTGTTGTACTCTTATCTGTTTTTGATTTACCATATTGATTTATTGGACCACTAGTAAGTGTCGATGTCGACCCCTCGTCATAACTTTTTCGGGATTAGGCTAGATACTTACTGGGTACCCGTTGATTTACGTACTCATGTTGCACTTCTGCACTAAATGTGCAAGATCTCACAGGTTCATTTGATGATCATCTTGGCGCGTAGGCGCAGCTGTTGAGGAGACTTCATGTGAGTTGCATCACAGGCTACGCATCGCAGTCCACAGAGTCTCCATCGTACTATTTATTTTATCATATCTTATTTATATTCTAGACAGATGTTGTATTATTATTGTGCTCCTTAGTAAATGCTCATGCACTTGTGACACCGAATTTTGGGGGTACCTACTGGGTGTTCATTATTGTAGTTCGCGTAATTATTATCATTTTACCTTGTAATTTATACCTTATACGGAAATTGAAAAATAAAATCACGGGTTTTCTATGAGTACTAGATTTTACACTACTTATTCAATGTGATTCATGATTTCGAAAATAATAAAATGAGTAACTAAGTTGATTAATCACCATTAGCTTGCCTGACGGCGGCGTTAGGCGCCATCACGATCTATAAAGGATTTTGGGCCGTAACATTACCACTTTGGGTGGTTATAATTTCTCACAAAACTCTAATAGAGTTATAATCAAAATTTATTGTCTTTGCTTGTATTTAAAATCAAATTATAGAATTTCAAGAATGTAAAAGAGAAAAATAAGGTAAAATACTTATCTTAAATCCAGAATTAATTCCTGAAGGAATCATGGAATAATTGACAATCATTATGCTCAATATTATGTACAAGTTGAGCACCATGCACGTATCCCAAAGCCTCTACTCAATTGGTTAGAGTTTCGTGCTGATAACGGGTTATAAAACAATAGAAGAGTATTGCAGAGAAAAGTAGAGAGAGAATTCTTATTGATTTGAGATCATTTACAATGGAATAAAACTCCTCTATTTATAGGAAAAAAGTGACTTAGTCACAAAGTAACAAATCTTAAAATCTTTCTAAAATATAGACATTCACCTTAAATACAATTCTATTAATAATATTTCTAATATAGTATAGTTAGGTAAAAATCCCTTAAAAAATTGTACTCTCTCCGTTTCAAATTAGATGAGGTACTTTCCCTTTTAGTATGTTTCAAAATAAATGACACATTTCTAATTTTGGAAAATAATTCAACTTTAAACTCTTCATCTTACCCATTTTACCCTTAATGAAAAGCTTTTATAATCACATAAATGTCATGACCCCACAAAACTTTTACCCCTTAAATTTTTAAGACCACAAGTTTCATAAATCTTCTTCTTTTTTCTTAAACGTCGCGCCGAGTCAAACTAACTCGTTTAAATTGAAAATGATTGAGTAATAGTTGTTGCATTTTGCATGCACCCCAAAATCACACGCTCCTATATATACAACCTTATTAGTCACTTCCTTTCTCCATCTCCAATAACTCACTCTTACTTTCTCTTTGTAAGACAGTATATATATATATCATGACGACAAGGCCAGAAGACGAAGAAGACGAGGAATTAACGTTGGAACTGATAAGCCAACACCTCCTCGGTGACTTCACTTCTACTGACTTCTCTTTCTCTACTCTTCCCGACGATTTCCAGCCCGTAATTTTCACCTCTGATCAGAAACCTAACCATTTTGATCTTCACGATAATTTTTCCGAGTTTGAGACAAAGCCCAATATCATTCTAAGCCCCACATCAGTTACCACTTCTGTCGTTTCCAACACAAGAATATTTGATGATTCAAGTTTGAACAGAACGGATAAAAAAAGTGGACGGGTCGGGTTACGGGTCTTCAGTGGTGGAGAATGGAAAGAAGAAGCATTACAGAGGGGTTAGGAGGCGACCGTGGGGGAAATTTGCGGCGGAGATAAGAGACCCGACCCGAAAAGGTTCGCGGGTCTGGCTTGGAACTTACGAGACCGACGTGGACGCTGCGAGAGCTTATGATTGTGCAGCTTTTAAGATGAGGGGAAGAAAAGCCATTTTGAATTTTCCATTCGATGCCGGAAATTTAAGTCCGCCGGCGAACATTGGCCGGAAGAGGAGAAAAGGATAGGCCATAAGTAAAGGTGTATATAATTCAGCTTAAAGGAGTTTTTTATTAAATAAAACTAAAATCAATTATGGTTATTAAATTAATAAAATTTAACCAAACCAAACATAGTTGGTTTTTCTGTTCATATTTTGTCGGATTTTTCCTTTTTCATTGTTTTTTTTTTCACTTTTTTTTTTTTTTACTTGGTAGGGTAGATAGTCTATAGTGTTCATAACAGTAGTATTGACACGCAGTCTCGCTTTCTGTTGGTAGTAAGTTTTTATGTCTAACCGTTGTTTTCTTTCATTGTTGATCACCTTACTGTTTTGTTGTTTTTATTCTGCTTTTATATGGCTTTTTGGTACTGCCTCTTCTTGTCTATTTTCATTAATGTGGTGCTTATGCTTTCCTGAGCCGAGGGTCTATTGGAAACAACTTCTCTATCCTCACAAGGTAGGGGTAAGGTCTGCGTACACACTACCATCCCCAGTTGTTATTTTTTTTCCTTGTACAAGTGTACATTATAATTAGGAGTATTTAAACCGAACTGGAAAACCACATCAAACCGAAAAGTCAAACCAAACCGATTAAATTTTTTTTATTAGATTTGGTTTGGTTTGTTATCGCGTAAAAAAAAACTCAAACCAAACCGATATATAATATATAATTTTTATATAGAATTATTTTTTTAAATATCTAAAATATTATGACCTTCTCATGGATGTAATATTTAATATAACTATAAAGTGCATCTATTTTATTTACTTTAAATAATGGTTGATTTTAACTTGTACTATCACTTTCGTTGCAAATGTTATTAAAATGCGTCAATCTCTCTATTCTTTCATATTCTTATATCAAGATCTATTAAACTCTTCTATCCTTTTTTAATTTGATATAGTATTTTATCAGTAATTTTTAAAATTAAATAGAACATATCATTATTTAGGTTTCATATTGATTTTTGTATTTAATTAACCTGATTAAGCTGGAAAGCGTACATCAACGAAAAACTATTGTTGGACTAAGAAAATAACTATCATGTGTTACTAAAGAAAATCTCCCTTAAAAATATTTTAATAGAGCATATGCTTGTTAATTTTTTCTAAACATATATTCACTTATCAAAACATTATCTATAACTCTAACAAAGTAAAATTGAAATAATATTCATGTAACAAAAAGAACCCGAAAAATCCAAAAAGCCCGACAAAATTGAACCAACCCAAATCGATATAATTGGTTTGATTTGATTTGGATAAAAACTGAACCAACCCGACTCATGTACATCTCTAATTATAAACCCTTTGAGGACCTCCGATAAAATAAGTGTACAATATACAAGGTTTTCCCAAGGAGGTATTATGTAACTCTAAACAATTTCAGTTATAAGTTTTCCATTGAAACAAAGGGGAGTAATAAAAAAAAAGGCATAATACTATGAGATGGAACACTAAAGAAGATTATTGATTTGTTGTTGCACAAATTTTGAATTTTGAAAAAAGATATGGTACAATTTTCAAGTTTAAATTGACCGAAGTTAAACAAGTTTAAATTGACCCAAAAAGTAGAATGACGAAATTTAAAGTGTGATCGTAAAAGTAAGCAGGGGTGTGCAAAGAAAACTGGCAAACCGCACCAAATCGATAATCCGAGTCAAATCGAGAAAAAAAATTCGACTATAGTTTGTTGTTAGAAAAAAAACCCAACCATAATTGGTTTGGTTTGGTTTTAACTAAAAAAAGTCAAACCGAAACCAAACCAACCCGACATTACATATATACAAGTTTTAAAAATATTTTATACATAAAAATAATTATTGTGATGTAATTTATACATATTTTTTAAACTTTTTCATAATTCTCTCTTTTAATGTATTATTTCAAGATTGGACTTAGAACTTTTGGATAGTCAAATATGTTTTATAGCCCATAAAGGTTAGTGATTCAAATAAAGTCCAAAGCAAAATCAAATCAATGAAAGTGCTAACAAAAAATTTCAATTCAACACACAATAGTATTGAATATTTATTTTCTTAGTTTTTCATTACTTTAGATAGTGAAAATGCATAACTTACTTTTGATATTATTTAGTCATGTAATTAATACTTAGTTCCTATTAGTCGTACTTATTTTAATATGATTTAGTGCTTTTAGATTATGTTTATTTTTATTATGGCTTATTAATTAGCAATATTTATTTTATGCGATTTGTTGAGTATTTTAGTATAATCATGACTCATCTCATATTATTTTGTATTATTTTATTGGGTAACATCTTATATAGTTTTATCCTACTAGGACCTAAAAAATATTAGAGCATAAATTATAAATTTTATGCTATGAAGATTTTGTCGGGAAAAAACCGAAACCCGAGAAAATCGAAAAATTCGAAAAAAACCGAGATTGAAAAACCCGACTTTTGTTGGTTTGGTTTGGTTTATAGATTTAAAAATTCGAGACAATTTGTTTTGGTTTGGTAATTGAAAAATCCGAATTAACCCGGCCTATGTACACCCCTATGTAAAAATATCTAATTTTCATGAAAATCTGACATTTGTTCTTGAACTTCTTAAAATATGATCTATATATTTAAAAATGACACAAAAAAAAAAAAAATGACACAAAAAGGTACTCATAAGTCATAATTCTAATAGCTGAAAACATCTTAAAACATCTTAAATGCCAAGCAAGTTACATCAGATTCCGAAAATCTTGCCAGATATTCCCTCTGTGCCAAAAAAGAAATAGAAATGATGATATTCAAAGTGCGCCATCGTTAAAAATATAATTTTTGGGAGACACTATATATAAACAATTCATGAAAATTTAGAATAAAATTTATATATTTAAAAATTACACAAAATGTACATCAAATCATAACCTGTATAACTGAAAATACTTAAATGTTATTGAAAGAACAATAGCCTCAAAATAGTAGTAATCATTATGCAAAATGAGACAGAAATATTAATAAGGATCGAAAAATTGAAAATAATCAGTAAAGCGCTCAGCAATAGTTGCCCTATATAGTATATACTACTAACTTGCTTTTCTTTTTGGCCTTCTAACTTTGCTTTGATGTACATTGAAATGATTTTCATAGTTCATATCTCAGACTCAGAGTTGATTAAGGAAACTTCATGTTTTTTAAAACAAAATCCTTTACTCCATTTAGAGATTACAGAACTCCTAAAGAAACAATAGCCGAAAATATTATGGTTTTAGAATAATAGCTTTTATTTTTATTTTTTAGTCAAAAGCTACCTTTATTTCTCTGGCAATATAAGTATTGTTTTATAGATATAACGTTTGAATAGATTGTATCGTTTGCTATCGTTAAATAATATTTTTATTATTTAGTTTGACTGTTCTTAATATTTTAAATATTAAATTTATCAAGAATTTCCATAAAAATAATTTAGTAAAATATTTTTCTACTAATTTATCATCAATTATGTCTTGTAAATATAATAAGCAGTAAAATTCATGCAAATTCTAACAAAATGTTAACACACAAACTGAAAAGTATCACCACACCTCTGGAAGAATATTGACAAAAACGTATTCATGTTACGTAATAGAGGACGAAATCAGAATAGAGAAGTGGAAAAAGTTAAAGATGAGAGAATTTTGGTGCAGATAAAGGAGAGAAAAGGAAAGGAGAGATGTTTAGATATTCTTCATACTCGTAACTTTTACGGCTACCCTAATCATGTACTCCTATGACTAATTTTGTGAAAATATTACTGCAAATCCAACTACTTCAGTCTTCGTTTTCATCAACTCACAAATTATTTAGTGGAATAAAAATTTCTTAAATTGGTTGTGTGTGTTTGGGGGGGGGGGGGGGGGGGAGCTCTTAAATTTACTAAGGTGGTTCTAGTGTCAAAATAAGCTATAAATTCTCCACAGCATAGTGTGACCAAGCTAGGGAGCAGGTTCAATCAACCGCCTCCTAGGTTTTGAAACTTGTAACCTTTGAAATTGTGAAAGTCTGAAGAGCAACTCGATGAAATATAGTCCTAGTTTCCAAAGTATTTAATATCATCTCCGTATATTTGACTAGATATCTTGAATTCTATAATCCTAACTTTAAATACTTCCTCCGGTCCACAAAAAGTGACCATTTAACCTTTTTATTATTGTCACGCCTCCTTTTTCCTGAAGGATAGGGGATATTAGAGTTTTTTCAATTTAAGTGACATTGTTCGAAATGAGATAACATCAATTAGGGAGTGAAGACTTTATGTCTAAAATAATATCAACTAGGGAGTGGAGCCTCTATGTTGGAAAAGGGGACTAGGGAGTTGAGACCCTATGTCTAAAATTAAAATCAACTAGGGAGTGGAGACCCTATGTTGGAAAGGCGACTAGGGAGTGGAGACCTTATGTCTAAAATAACATCAACTAGGGAGCGTAGACTCTATGTTGGAAAAGGATACTAGGGCGTGGAGACCCTATGTCTAAACTTACAATCAACTAGGGAGTGGAGACCCTATGTCTAAACTTACAATCAACTAGGGAGTGGAGACCCTATGTCTAAAATAAAATCAACTAGGGAATGGAGGCCCTATGTTGGAAAGGAAACTAGGGAGTGGAGACCTTATGTCTAAAATAACATCAACTACGGAGTGAAGACCCTATGTTGGAAAAAAGACCAGGGAGTGGAGACCCTATGTCTAAAATAACATCAACTAGGGAGCGTAGACTCTATGTTGGAAAAGGATACTAGGGCGTGGAGACCCTATGTCTAAAAATAAAATCAATTAGGGAGTGGAGACCCTATGTTGGACAGACGANTATTGGAAAAGAGACTA